TGAAGAACCTCGACGTCGGCGTCCTCAGCCCGGCCTCCAACTGCTGAAGATCGATGGCCACAGTGCCCATGGGGGGCTTCTCGGCCGAATCGTTCGGCCCGGGCGATGTGATGAGATACCCCGGCCTGAAGGGATATTTTCTTATCACCTTCCCGGCCCTGTCTCTTCCCACGCGGCTCCTAAACATCGGCATCTTGCCGAAGTCAAGGTTGGCAGCGTTCCTGGGGGCAACCGGCTCCAGCACTCCCTCGTCATGGGGCATTGCAGTTCCGAGGTCGGTATCGTATTCGACATCGGAACTGCCCTCGCTCATCTCTGATGACTCTGACCCCGATGCTGTCCCGGCCACTTCCTCCTCGGCTGATTCCCCCACATCGGTAGGTGCCGACCCCGCAGAGCTGGACGAAGTCGCTTCTTCCAAGGGGTCCGACCCCTCCTCGGCCTGATAGCTCGGTTTCACGGTTTCCTTGTGGGTTTTAGCTGTTTTGGCCATGTGTGAATGATGAGATGAAAAGAAAGATACTTACTGTTGACTACGGAATCTGACGAAGTGGATGACTTCGGTTGATATCTCGGCTGGCAGGACTGACCTCGGCAACGCTCACGAATTTTACAAGTCTGAGGCTGAGAGATAAAGTGATGGGCCATGCTGTGAAAAAGACCCCCTATTTATAGGGATTCGGCGAGAATCCGAAAAGGCGGCGAGAATGCGAAAAGGCGACCACGTTCAAATTCAAATGGCCCTGTCTTCCTCTCTCTTCATTAATGACCCGTTCTTTCGACTGACACTCTGCACGAAACGTCCCACTACCTCACGACGTGACCACTCTGCTCACCACGTCCTATCAACTGACCGCCCTACGTGTCGCACCCACGCATCGTCAGGAACGGTCTCGGGCCTCCGACCCTGTACGACCTCGGCACGATGAAGCCTCGGTACCTCCATCACTCGGAGCTTCCGAGGCTTGGGGGGCTTATTGAGGGTGCTTACCTCGGCCATCATAGGAATGCCGAGGTGATCTCACCTCCTCCCTCAAACGAGCACAGTCTCGTGCTGAATATGGCCCCTGGTCTCGGGCAGGCTCCTAGTCTACTGCCTAGGTGACCTCTGCACCTCAGACTTCCACCTCGGCTGCACGCTGATGATGTCAAGCCACCTGACATCATCCGGGACCAGTGCTTTATCTGAAAAGCATTGATGCTCTGAATGGCTACTGGGAAAGGTTCCCCGTCATCCTACCCAGGCGGCTACAGTGTCAGAGTCAGACCTCCTGACAAGGAACAGAGCCGTAATGACAGGATGTGGGTTCCACCGGCATGAGACCTCCGTCCTACCATCCACTCCCACTCTATAAATATCCCTCACGTACTCTCAACAAGTAGGCATATTGTTCATTCATATATACAATTGCTTTTCTCTCGTTCTCAAACTAACTTGATCGTCGGAGTGATCCCAGGGGAGAAGCCCCGCCATCCACTTCGGACAAGTAAAGTCACCTCATCTCATTTGAGAGAGGACTGATTCAGGTCGGTCTAGTTACCCACCAAAAATCACCTCTTCAGTTTGCACATTAACTGTTAAGTTAGGGCTTAGCTAACTTATAGAATCGATGTGCAATACAATGCTGAAATCAAGTGAAAATGAGTAAATGAAATCGGTCGGTCAGTTTTTTTATGAAAATGAAATTAGTCCTTTATATCATCATTGTTCATCAACCGATGGAATTGGACAATTTGAAAAATTTGTCAATGTCCACTTTTTGATAGGAAACTGTATTTCATTATTTCAATTGGGATACGTCCTTGGAAATTGTAGAATGTATACAAGGAGGTTTGTCCTCCAATTAATTGGCCAAAATTGGTAGCATAACGGATTCAAGTAGTTCATTTGTATTCTTTAAGGACCAAATTTGTTCAAATTACTTTTTCTTTCCTCCAACTTCTCTTTACTTTTACTCATCTTCTCAGAAAATTTTTCTCTTCGAGAGGGAGACCATTCCATGGATTTTGTTTTATTGTGTTTTTTAATAAAATCTCTCCTAAATTTTCTTAGTGAGAGTCCTTTGTTTCTCCTAGGGGTTTCTAGTGAAAATTTTATGTTTTTATCCCATTTTGTTATTTGATCCGAATTTACTTCAGATCTAGTTGTCAAATTTAGAGATTGTAGCCCTTGATTAGCAGATCTTGTGATTGAAACATGCACAGAAGGAAGTTGTAGCGATGTATCTTATTAGAAGACAATTCGAAATTTCCTGTAGCTTTTATATCAGTTCAAAATCATTCATATCTACTGTATCTGTATTGTTGTTAAATTACAGATCTATTATTTCAAGTGTATGTTTTATCATTAAATTGCAAATCTATTATTTCAAGTACATGTTTAACCTGCCTTTAGGGTAGTGATGTAAATCAAATTGCGCTGGATGATTTCTAGTAATCTGTTAATGAAATTTGTTTTTTATCAAAAAAATTGGTTTAAATTAGAAATTTAAGAGACTTAAATTGTTCGGTGGTTTTATAAATTTGAGGGAATAAGTTAGGCCCTATTTGATAGCCCAATTCAACACTTAAACTTAACGTATTCAAATCTTAACATGCTGAGATACGTTTGATAACAAAAAATTGAACATCTGAATTAATTAAGTAGAATTGAATTTCTTAGGCAAAACTTACTCCAAAAAATAAGTGATAAACTATTCATTTATCACTTAATGTGATATACACTCAAACGTATCAAGATGAGTATTTAACAATTCATTAATTTAATGGATTCAGACTTTAGATTTTAGTTTTCAGACTTTAGTTTTATTAAGTACACCGTTAGTCTTCACTTGAATGCAATTAATTTAAAAATGAATTATCCGAACAGATTATATTTCCTCATTTTTTAATTGTATGGTTTTAAGAATCACAAAACAACATTCGAACCACTTAGTTATCTTCTTTTCGTGTTTATGAGGTTGAATATAGCATAACCACATTCCATCATCTTGTATGTACAATTTTTCAAATTTATATTTTACAAATTATTTTATCATATAAATATTTTTTCTTTATATTGGTTCAAGAGAGGCTTAAACTTTAAAAGGGAAAATGGGAGTGCTTGAGTTCGAACCACTTAGTTATCTTCTTTTCGTGTTCATGTGTTGAATATAGCATAACCACTTTCCATCATCTTGTATGTACAATTTTTCAAATTTATATTTTACAAATCATTTTATCATGTAAATATTTTTTCTTTATATTGGTTCAAGAGAGGCTTTAAACTTTAAAAGGGAAAATGGGAGTTGAGAGTCTAATTGGGGACTTTACGTTCTAATGTTGAGAGATAGGCACAAGTCGGGTATCCGCCCCATCCATATCCAATTTTTAAATTTCTTTAAAAAATATAAATTCCAAAGGTCAAATGAAAATTTAAATGTATTAGAGTATAAAAACTATCATGTAAGTGATTTGTTGCACTTACATATGAGTTTTTAGTCATAAAAAAAGAGTTTTTGGTGAAAATGAATCTTTTTTTGTTGCAATATAAAGTAACTTCCATACTTTTTTCTTATTTTGTGCAAACAAATAAGATTCAATATTTTCATCTACAACCTTTTTTATCCACAAATTATATGACAACATAATAAAGAACTTAACGCCATATGTAAAGAAAGCCTATTTTGAAAGAGGACATAGATATAAAAATAAGAAACAAGAGAAAAAACAATTATAAATTAGTAGATTTAATATATAAAAAATTCTAAAAAATAAAAAATAATGCAGATAGGATCGAATATCCACGGATCTCAAAAAATGATATCCGAATCCAATCTGCATAACTTCTTGATTCGAATATGATCCGACAGATCGGATATCTACTAATTTGGACCGAATCCAGATTGAATTATTGGTTTTCCGAATCATTGGGTCAAGATGCACACTTCTAGTACCCACTTAGACAAGGTCGGGTCATCGATTACTCATCCTACTCCTCTTACCATTTAATTTTTTTAAAAGAATAATTTATATTAATTCCATTTTCTATTTCACATGTTCATTTAAAAATCAACACTTATTTTATAAAAAACGTTTTATGCCCACAAAAGAATTGAAAAAATAAATAAATACTATATGCATCCAAAAGTAATAAAATTACTCCAAAATTGATTATCCAATCACCAATACAGCTCAAAACAATATGAATTGTTCCTCAATTACAATGTTCTCAACAAATGCTTATAAGCCAAGCATGATGTTTTGATATTTGCCCTAATTAATTGAATAAGATAAACAATGATGCCAAAAAACAAAAAAGTTGTGGCAAGCATTACCTTTTTTTTTTTTTTTATATCCTAGATCAATTAAACTTTCTCTGAAAAAAATAAGGTCATAATTTTTACAAGTGAAACTTATAAGGAGTACAAATTATAGGCTCTTATAACTGAGTTGAAATTTGATCAATGAAATTATTTAATTATGTTTAAAATTGGTAATTGTTTTGTGTATATGCACACGTGTGTCTATATATATATATATATATATATATATATATATGCACATGTATTTGCGAGTTGTTAGACCTTCACTCTAACCTGCTTGCACATGTAAGTGGTTACTCAATCCTCCTCAGACTCAATCAAGAAATGCGGGTCTGGTACCCTAAATTTTGGAGTAGATCGGTACTGATTTTGTGATTCGGTGGGTCAATGGGTATTTTCATCCATCCAACTAATATCCCCACTAGCTTGAGTTGCATTTTGAGAATAATAAATGTAAACTGTGACCTGCAAGAAAGAAAAAGAAATGAAAACAAGAACAAAAATCTGCAAAACCAATTTAAAAATGATCTGTATCCAACCCGGTAAGGCCCACGGCTCATTCCCCAATCAATCCCCAAAAAGGCAAAACAAAACAAGAAAGAAAAGGAGAAAAAAAAAAGGAAAAAGAAAAAAATCCACGTGCCCCTCTGATCGTTTCCCGCCACATCGCACCATTTCTCCCTCGGTTTCCCGCCAAATCCCAAGCCCTTGAGTCGAGCAAAGGAAAAACCAGAAGCGCTCTCTCTCACCCATTCTCTCCCTATCTCCAGAAAAGAATACACGCAGTCACACAGTAGAGAGGAGGGCAAAGGAGCGGCAATGGATCTCAGCGAGGAAGTTAGGGCGACGAACAAGCGCGCCTTCCTCAAATTCTTCGACCAAAGCGTAATCTTTTCTTCTCAAACTTGTGACCAAAAAAATCGCTTATTTCTGTGTAATGTCAATTCATGGATTGATTTGTTTCAGGAACTGAGTATCGAGTTGAAGAAGGACATTAACACTATGATTAACAGACAAGAGCGCCGTTTGATTATCAAGCTCTCTCATCTGTATAACCACAGGGAAGGGGCTGACCTCGCTCGCAGGTTTTTATATTCTCAGATGCCGTTTCTTCACCTATCGATTCTTCAGTCTTTTCTGTATTTCCAATTTTATTGTTTTTAGCCTTTCTTTTGAGCTTTTTAAAATGCCGTTGTAAGTAAAAAAGAGAGATTGAAAAAAGATATCAGATATTTCTGTGAAATCGGAATATTTGAAAATCATTTTGTTTACTCTCTCTGTCTCTCTGTCTCTCTGAACTTTCATCAGCAAATTGATATTTTATTTGAAAATGAAATGAAATATTTTGACACTCAGTTCCTACTAATTTGATTTCTAAGACACATTAAGTCCAAATGTTATGAAAAATTCCACTAAGAAATGTAATTGTTTAATCTGAAAATGAATCTTTTGACGGATGAATATTTGGTGTGTAGCAATAAATGCCATCAAACAGTGTTATATATTGGCTGTAATTACCGAAGTTGTTTTCAATTGGATATTCATTAAAGATGTGACAATAGAAACAGATGGTGAAGGACTGGAAGAAAAAGGAATAAGATGATGCATGATTTTAGGAGAGACATGTAGTTTCCTTTTAGGCAGTTTTGTACAGGAGGAGAATGTTGTTAGAAACCTTTTCTTTTTAATATATAGAAGGTGATCCGGAAGCATAGCATGAAATTGTACAACTTTGTTGCCTGTCTGTTTACTTTAACTTTGGGGCTTATTGAAGGAGTCTCATTTTTCCATTTTTCTTGGAATTGATAGGCTTCTCCAGAACCCAAGCGAGTATATGCAACCACTATGTGATGCAATGACAGAGATGGTTCGAAGCTGTGATGCAAAGTATTTGAAGGAAGGGGAGCAAGTCCTTGTCGGGCTTGATGGTCCTTTTGTTTCACGCAGAGTGACCCCAAGAGACCTCTTGTCAGGCTTCATTGGTTCCATAGTGTGTGTTGAGGGAATTGTTACCAAATGTACTTTCTTGCCCTTTCATCTACATTAATGATACTCTAGTCTAATGTATTGTTTAGTCTATTCTGCTCCTTCCTTGTTTGAGCTCACTAGTACACAGTGTCATAAAGTGAACGTTTGGTGTTTGACTTGGAAACTGAGTCTACGGCTGTTCATATTTTAGGTCTAATTCCACAGTTAAAGTGCAATCCAGGGAGCATCTGCATTTAAGTTATCTAGTATGAAGCTGAGAATTAAACATAGTTTTTATCACTTAAAGTTTTATCTCTAATTGCAATTCTCAGTTATGTGCTCCAATCTTTTAAAATGATGTGCAACAATGCAGTGTGGGTTATATTGGATTTTCAACCTTCTTCATATTGTTCAGGTAAAATCTACATGCACGTGGGATTAAAGCTTGAATTCACAGAATGTGTGTCAAAGTAAGGTGGTTAACATATGAATCATAGGACCTTAATGGAAGCACATGATTTCTTTTTCTTTTCCCCTTCCCATTCATGATACATGAGTTTTGCATTTGGATGCAATGTGGTTCCTTGTGCTATTGCTGTTAGTGCACATATTCTTTGATCTTCTCTTACAAATTTCCTGTCTTTGTCTGTCTGTGCCTCTCTCCCTTTCTCAATTAGGCCATAAAAATCCTTGTACAAATATTAAATTTAAGTTTAGGCTTTTTCGGCATCTTATGGCTATAAAACTGATTTTGACATTTTGGCTACTCTTACATTGATACTGAACCATTTCATGCTCATATCTATGTGTCTAAATCTGTGATTTTGCTTGATATCTACTTGGTATATTTAGGTTCTCTTGTGAGACCAAAGGTTGTCAAGAGTGTTCACTTCTGCCCTGAGACAGGGAAGTTCACAACCCGTGAGTATAGAGATATAACATCCAATATGGGATTGCCAACAGGTTCTGTGTATCCAACGCGGGTAATCTTGAGCTTCTCAGTACAATCACCTCATTTCATTTTTTTTCCACAAAACAAAGCCTTTCTAAGAATGATTATGATTTAGGATGATCAAGGCAAATTATTGGTGACTGAGTATGGGCTGTGCACATATAAAGACCACCAGACATTATCAATGCAAGAAGTGCCTGAAAACTCTGCTCCTGGTCAACTACCACGGACAGTGGATGTTATTTTAGAGGATGACTTAGTGGATAAGTGCAAGCCTGGAGATCGTGTGGCTATTGTTGGGATATACAAAGCACTTGCTGGAAAGAGCAAGGGGAATGTGAATGGGGTTTTCAGGTTAGTACAGTGATTTTACTGGCTAGGTTTTCTTGCTTGACCTCTCAGGCAAGTCTGCTGTAAATATGAAGCTTGATCCAGATTCTTTCATGCAGGACTGTTCTTATAGCGAACTCTGTCTTTCCTCTCAACAAATCCACAACGGCGACACAATTTGGAAATAAAGACCGAGATAATATCTTAAAGATATCTAAAAGAGACGATGTCTTTGACTTACTTGCCAATTCTCTTGCACCATCTATATACGGTCATACATGGATAAAGAAGTCATTGGTTCTTTTGATGCTTGGTGGAAGTGAAAAGAATTTAAAAAATGGTACTCATTTGCGAGGGTAAGTTATTACTTGAGTCCTTTATATTTAGTTTAATTTTAGATGTTCTGAGTTCTGCTTTTGGTCATGTGGATCTTCTCATACTTTTCCTTTTCTCCATTTTCTATTCCCAACTCAGCACCTTGTCCAATGTCTTTCCTTATTACCACCCAGAGAAACTCTTTACAGCTCAAGTTGTTGAACTACAGTTAGTTTTAAGTCCTCAGTCTGGTTTAATGCTCTTTGATAGTGATATAAACATGATGATGGTTGGGGATCCTTCTGTTGCCAAGTCTCAGCTGCTAAGAGCAATCTTGAATATTGCACCTTTAGCTATATCAACCACTGGTCGAGGTTCTTCAGGAGTTGGCTTGACAGCTGCAGTTACTTCTGATCAAGAAACAGGTAATACACTCTTATGGTATCATTAACGTTATAAACTAACTATAGTGAATATTTATCAAATTGGTGAGATTGTCATTAGGAGAAAGAAGGCTAGAGGCTGGTGCTATGGTTCTTGCTGATAGAGGAGTTGTTTGTATTGACGAATTTGACAAAATGAATGACCAAGATCGTGTAGCTATACATGAAGTCATGGAGCAGCAAACTGTAACAATTGCTAAAGCTGGAATTCATGCATCCTTGAATGCCCGGTGCAGTGTTGTAGCAGCTGCAAATCCCATATATGGAACAGTAAGATGCAGAATCTATGTTCCTTGAAAAATTGCACTTTCATGTCCATTCCTTTCATTTATTGACTGCATATTATTCTTGTTATGTACAGTATGACCGCTCGCTAACCCCAACAAAGAATATTGGTCTCCCAGATTCTTTGCTTTCTCGTTTTGATTTACTGTTCATTGTTTTGGATCAAATGGACCCTGGTATAGACCGTCAAATCTCAGAACATGTCTTGCGGATGCATAGGTTTCGTTCCACTATGGATGGAGGTAAGGGAATAGTAGCTTCTTTACTGAAATATAGGTAACTTCATCTTTGTGCTTGGATGGCTGAAAGTGAAACACCCAAATCTTCAGATGCAGATGTAGGTACACAATACGAAAGGGAGGATGAGGGTGATGCAAATTCCACAGTCTTTGTCAAGTATAACCGAATGCTACATGGGAGGAAAACAAGTCGTAAGCGTGAGACCTTCACCATTGATTTTCTGAAGAAGTACATCCATTATGCAAAACACAGAATTCAGCCTGAGTTAACTGATGAGGTTGCATTCCTGCCTTTCTAATAATGTGATCCTGAACTACAAGTGCCACATCATTGTCCCATAATTTGTATTAAGAATTTCAGTTTACATCTCTTTTAGGTTTCCTTTATGTTATCCATTCATTTGCTTCTCTTGCATGGTCACTGGTTCGTGGCTGATTTTACAAATTACTGTGTACAGGCATCAGATCAAATTGCAACTGCATATGCAGAGCTTCGAAGTGCCAGTTCAAATGCCAAGGTTGGTACTTAATTCACAGTTAGTTGTGTACATGTATGTAGTATTTGGCATCAAGATGCTCAAATTTTATCAAAATAATAACAATTGTTTTACGTAGACTGGCGCTGGAACTCTTCCAATAACTGCCAGGACCTTGGAAACAATAATACGTCTGTCAACTGCCCATGCAAAATTGAAGTTAAGAAGACAGGTAAATCTGTATGTCGCCGTATGTACAGTTAATGTTATTTGATGAGCCTTTAGCGTATTATGATGTTGATTCGCTGTTATGCTGTTCATCCCTATTTATTGCAACATCAATGCTTTTTCATGTGCACAATTACTTATCATTGACTAATTATGTCCACTAATTGCTCTTGAGCAGGTTTTGAAGGCTGATGTGGATGCCGCTCTTCAAGTCCTGAACTTTGCCATATATCATCAAGAGCTAACTGAAATGGAAGAGCGTGAGCAAGAAAGAGAAAGAGAGAATGAGAGAAAGCGCAGATCCGAGAATAATGCAGGTGACACTGGTAGACCTCAGCATCAAGGTGCCAGAAATGATAGAGAAAATGGTGATGCTTCTGGTAGAACAGGGTGAGTTGTTCCAGAGCAAATCAAGCTGAAAGACTGTAAACCCATGATTTTGAATGTTTGCTTTCTTTGTGTTTTTTTGCTGTGCTTCAGCTGGAAGCTGAGATTTCCTTATTTGGCTGTAGAAAGATCTATCCTCTACAGATATGTTGACTAATGACTATAGTGCACTTTTTGAGATCATGATAGGAAGGCACCCATAATTTGAGTCCGGATAATTGGATTTAGTGGTTGATTAATTCTTTAAATCTTGTTCTAATAACTCAGCCATTTGACTGTATGCCAATGATCATCTTAGTACTTTGTGTCCGTGTCATAGTCATACATGTTCTCTTTTAAGCACTGTGAAACATCACAGAAGATCTAATGCTTTGTCCAATTGAGGCTACGTTTCATTCTGTTTGCCATAGATCATTAAAATCTTCCAATAACAGCCTTCAGTCTTGAACTCTTTATATCTATGTGCTTCTTTGATTACAGTGACATTATTGATTGATGAGTTGTATTTGATTATGCTGCACTTTTTCTCTTCTTGACTGCACTGAGGAGATGGCTTCAATATTTGTCCAGCCACCAGCTAGTATAATCTGGGTATATTCTTCTTTTTGTGACAAATCCATGTATTCCTGCCTATTCAGTAAGCATAAGATACAGAACCAATTGTGAGACTACATAAATACTCTTTGCTCTCACTATGCCCTTAGACTTCTGCTGAGTCAAAACCCTACCCATCAATGTCATTCGCTAACATGGTTTTTGAGTCATGATCAATCCATTCATCATATGAAAGCATTCAGTAGTCAAACTTTTTTGGGAGGCTGTCGTGCTTGCAAAGCTAAGCTAGATCTCTGAAGTTCCTATTGTACTTAAACTTGGAGTTTCTGTGGAATCTGGTATCAGCTTCTTTGAGTAGGATGGGGAATGACTTTCAGTATTCTGCAACTTATAGCCTTAAACTGTTCATGGGTGTTATGTAAATATTTTATAACACTCTCCTTTAAGTTTGAAATCTTCTGAAGTAAATGTTCCTTAAGAACTTGAGTCATGGAGTTGCATTTGTCAATGATTTCTTTGCTTGAACCTTTGACATTAGCAATCAAAAACATGATAAATGTGATATAAGTACATCAAGTGTTGTCCTTTTTGTCAATGTCTCAGTTGATAGACTATCAGATTTCTCAGATATTTATATGATTGGCTTGTCGTTTTCTTCTGTTACCTCCTTTCTTAATTGACAGGGAGGCTATGGAAGTAGAAGGTTCTGCTGGAACAGATGTCAATATATCTCCTGAGAGGTTTGTGTTGATTCGGAATCACATAGCTGCACATGATATTTGTTTCTGTTGTTGTCAATTTACAAAAATCCAGTTTGAATATGGAGGTGCTTTTGTTCACTGTGCTTGCAGGTTGGAAGCATTTAGCGCAGCACTTGGAAGGTACAGGCACGCACAGCATGTTGAACAAATATCAGTTGCTGATATTGAGGGAGTAGTTAATAGCGGAGCATCTGTGCCTTTCTCAACTGCGGAGATTATGACCCTGTTGGAGGTAATTTTTTTTTTTTTTTGGGAGTGACTGTCAGAATTTATTTGTAACTGCTCTCTGGATGTATTGGTTATAGCATATTAAAGCTTTAATTCCTTTTTTGAGCAGATGATGGAAGTCGAAAACAAGCTGTTTTTCAATAGGGATGCAAATGTAGTGTACTTTGTGTGAAGCAGTCTGACCTTCTGCAGTTGTGGACCTGGTGGTTTTCTGTAGTTTTATGGCACAGACGTCTGCGCCGACGCTCATTGATGGATCATCTACTGATGGTGTCGTGGCTGCACCTGATTGATCTAACTAGGCATATTCTGCATTTGCCTTACAGCAAGGCAAACGGCTCCTATGCCTCTTTACTTTTATTTATATATGCACACCTACTGTGTTCACCTTAGTGCCTTCTGAATCATATGGTAGGATTATGAGAATGAAATCCAAATCTTCTGTTAGACTGGCAGACACTATGCTAATCTTTGTGCTACATCAACTTTAATTAAAGTACGCAGAATTAGCTTGTCTGAAAAGTTTGTAGTCCATTATCTTCAATCCTACTGACTGGCAGGATAACATTGAGTAGGATACAGGGTATACATAAATGTAAGTTGCAGTGTACATACAATGCAGCAAACTTTTAGGTAAGAGTAAATGACCTAAAGTACAATTGAAAGTGAAAGCCAGCTTCCATGATTTTGTGAACAGTGTTTTTTATGCAAACACGAAGCTCGAAAAAAGTTGAGGGTCAATTGGAAGGCTTTTTGTTTGATGTTTTCCATCTATCAGCACATAGAAGCACTTGTAGATACTACTTGCCACTTGAAAACATATCAATCTTTTGGCTGTTGCTCAGCTTTCCTATCTGTTTATCTTCTCTATAATGTACAATGAATCAAAAAATAGACGAAGATGCAGCGGTTCTCATGCTTTAAGCGATGTCAACAGTTAATGCCCACTTTCTTCTGGATGAACCATAAATCCTTCCTAAATGTCGCCAAATGCACTTAAAGGAACAAAGCATTAACTTTGCCTGCCTTGTCTAATCTGGCTAAGCATTGGAGCAAAACCTGCCGCTGTGTTAATTTAGCAATATTTTTATAGGAAATTGAATATTTTAATACGTTAGGACAAATTTTAGCGTCGAAAGAATATTGTTTGGCACTGAAGAGTAGTATCGAAACCAAGGAATGAGTATTCAAAGTACAATTACCTAGAGAAAAAATTGGAATTTCCTAAATGCTGACTGCTTATGCGAATGGTGATTAATTTTTGACATTGTTAAATTCGGCGCTATAGCAGGACTGATATTTAGTAGTTTGAAGTATTGCGCTGTAATTACAGTTAATATCTCAAAAAAAAAAAAAAAGAAAAAAACCACAACGGGTACATCAGTTTGGCTAAGATAAACTTTCTTTAAATTTTAAGTGCATTTTGAAAACATTTACCATTTCTTTTCGTCTTAGGAAGTAGTATAATCTTTCTAGTGCATTTTAATCACATTTTCTTTTTGAGAAAAATAGACACGTGTATTTCAATTATCATAAGCCACAACTACAAAAATTATTGAACTAATTTGAATCATGAATTACCCTGTGATGCAAGAATAAAATTGATTGTTGGTATGCTGTGCATCACGTAATGTGACCGAATGAAAGGCCTCTAAACTTAGAATTTTACTATGCAATTGTTTGAATCGAATATTTTTTGAGCTTAATGGATTTTTTTTAATTAGCTTAAGGGATAGTATTGCTCATTAGATTTAGTAACTAACCAGTCTTAAACCCCATTCGTTGCACGGGGATTAATTTTGAGCATTTTGGACCCTTAGCTTCACTATGGAGTTTCTTTATCAAGTCTCATTTCTCAAATCCTTACACATGTTACATAAGGTTACTTAGATCAATTCTTACAATGCGACTTATTACACGGGTTATGATTTGAAAAGTGAGATTGGAATTGAGGATTGGAAGTGACATTTCAGATCCTCAGCCCCACGATGGAGTTTCTTTACCAAGTTTCATTTTTCAATTCCTGACACGTGTCATATGAGGTCACTTATATCAATTCTTATAATACGACTTATTACACATGTCAGGATTTGAAAATGAGATTTGGTAAGGAGGCTCCATATTGGAGCTGAGAATCGGAAGTGAATTTTGAAATTGTTCCATTTTAAATCTCAATACTTTTTTTGGATATAAAACAAATTTCATTAACAGATTGTTGGAAATTATCCAACATAATTTGGTTTACTTTTCTGTTTTAGTGATAGGTTAAACATACATTTGAAATAATAGTCTGGAATTTATTTGAATGATTTTCAAACAAATCTGAACACTACAAGAAATTTTCAAATTGGCTTCTAATAAGATAAATAACTACAACTCCTTTCGGTGTATGTTCCAATCGCTAGATCTACTACTTAATGGCTTCAACCTCCAATAATGAAGATGAGATTTGTTGAGATAGACCTAAGACCCCGAAGAAATTCCAGATTTGAAATAAATTCGGATCAAACAACAAAACAAGGATAAAAATAGAAAATTCTCACAAGAAACTTCTAGAAAAAATAGAAAATTCTCACTAGGAATTTCTATGTGAAATAAATGATTCTCATTAAGAAAATTTAGGAGAGACTTTATTGAAAAATACAATAAAATGAAATCCATGAGAGGGAGACCATGGTGATTTCCCTCCTGAATAGAAAGGCCTTCTGAGAAAATGAAAAGAAGTGGAGAGAAGTTGGAGGAAAGGAGAGGTAATCTTGATTTAGTAGAATATATGGTTTAAGTCTTAATACTAATTGAAGTACATGTTGTGGAATAGCAATTGAAACTTCAAAGATTTTTGAGATAATATATTTGAAACTTTAAAAGATAAGAATAAAGGAATTGAGGTTGCATTTAGTCAATTAGGTTGACTAATTTTTCCGTACTCTAACCAGTCATTAGGATTATTCAAAACTCAAATACCGAAAACTTACATTGAATCAATTCATAATTTAAGGATGTTAGTAAATTAGAGCACTAATGTATTAAGAAATAGGGTTAGATGGAAAAAACCCTCATGAACTATTACACTATTTGCACTTTGCACCCTAAACTATTTTAATAGGCATTTTACACCCTAGTCAACAAGAAAATAATAAGAAAATTATCTCTATCCAAATAATTGATGAACTGCACAATTTATCCTCCATTAAAAGCTTGTAAGAGACAAAAATACCTTTTTGGAACAAAATATTGTCGTTTTAAATAAATAAAATTTTCACTTCATCATAAAATTCTAATTGAAAATATATAAAAATAAAATATATGATCACTTTGAATGACAATTAAAACAAAAGAATTAGGAAAAAAAGAAAAAAAGGGAATAAATTCAATTCAAGAATCTCAGCAATCCTATTTTAATACATATGTCAAGTTAGCCTAGGTAAAAAAAGATTGTGATTAAGGAAAAGTAAACAATCTAGGTGTTTTATTGAAACTTCTAAGCCCAATATTTTTTTTACTAATATGTGGGTTTTAATTTTGGTTTGGTATTGAATCTTTATTGCAATTTAAATTCATATGAAAATTTTGGGGTGCTACTCCAATTTTATTCTTGTGAAGATTTCAAGTGAACTTTTGCTGATTATATAAAGTTACGACATTATAATGCGTTCAAGAAAATTATGAGATTTTAAAAATTACAACAGTAATTGCTCCTCATTTTGACCGCAATAGTCTTAATTCTCGTTCAAGATGACGCAATATATTTTTTTTATATGTTAACAATTAGGCTTTCTATTATTAAGTGAGTATTAGTCTATTTAAAGTAGTAATCTTTCCCATCAAAATGATATTTTTGCCTCTTAAGTTCTTAATGGAGAATAAATTGATCATTTCATCAATTACTTGATGAAATTAATTTTCATATTATTTTTTAGTTGATTAAGGGTGTAAAATACTGATTAAAATACTTTAGGATGTAAAGACCGATTAGTGTAATTGTTTGTGGGTTTTTTGCATTTAACCCTAAGAAATATGATGTTGTGTCAAGCAACCCATTTGAGCCCAACTTTTGTCGACTTTCAAGAAAATGGCATTAACCATGACATTAGAGTGTTTGGATAGTAAATTATTTGAAATAATTTTGTAAAAAAAAAAAATACTGTAATACTTTTTTAATGTAATGTATCTGAGATAAAAAAATAATTAAAAAATATATTGATGATGTAAGCAAATTAGTATATATAACTAAGGTGTAAATAACATGTAATCCAAACAACCTCTCATGTTTCTGAATTGTTCAGACACATATTATTTCTGACTTGTTCAGACATATTATTTCTGAATTGTTGTATGACACATATTGGTACCACTTCCCAGGTTTCTGAATTGTTCTTTGTATGACACGGACTCGGGGCACGGACGGTTGCACTGCCAATTTTGGTCATTATCAACACCATGTAACTTTCTTTGTACATGGTGTAACTTTTTTTTCACAGGATGTATTTTCACAACAGATAGTGGTGGGTCCCACACTTGGCGCGAAAATCGAGTTACATGGTGTAATCTCAGCCGTACAAAATTTTGAGGGCCAATCTTGGCCCTCAACCGTGCAGGGACGGTCATACTGATGACCGTCCCTGCCCCAAATCCGTATGACACACGTTCGTATCAATTCCATTGACTCGTACGGTAAAGCAAGTGTGATACAGCAACTAAAGTGACAAAATTTCCTTGGCCTGTATTTTTGTTGAAGGTGTAGGTCAGGGGATCAAATATTTTGACCTGTATTTTTATTTCAGTATTTTTTTGAAAATTTCATCAACAGGTGTAAAGGTATCCATCGAATTTGGTAGTGATTCAGTCCCCTCCGAATTTTCCATTGACTCTCTTGGATCCACCCCTTTTCCTTTGTATAGAATAAGAGTAGGTATAGAAAAGAATTTATTGTGTCCGGAAAAAAAAGCTAAAGGGACAAAATTGAAATATTCCAATGTAATAGCCAAGAAACCTTCATCAACTTAAATGTGCAAGGCTCAAATATTTATTTGTAAAAAATGAAAAAAATTTAATCTTTTAGAGAGTGTAATTATTCAACAAAGCCCTAGAAAAGATAAAAAGAACCATAATGTCAATACCCAAGATCCGAGTTTTGCTGAATATTATTACTAAGAAAATTTATTTCAAGTCTTTTCCAGAATATTAAACTTTTAGATCCAAGTGCTTTAGAATAGCTTCTAAACAACAAACTTAGCTTCCTAAATCAATTTATCATAAGATCAAAGCATTCCCAAAAGCAAATGAGGTTTTTTGGGTAAGAAATCGTAAAAACCAAGAATGAAAATAAAAATGTATATAATTGCCCTACCTAGACTTAGACTTAGACTTAGATGGGAACGTAGGAAAGTGCTAATCCAATGTACATTTTTATGAAATTACTCCATCATTTTACGTTCACCTGAATGAAAGGTTAGACATTTATATCTATTTCTTTCCGCACAAATACAAAGTCTACTTTTATGGACCTGAATTAGAAAAAAAAAAATGGCAATTACAGTCAATGGAAATGAAGAACTTACCGTGCAATAATTAATCAACAAAACCGGCAAGGAGAACCATTAAAAATTCCAAAAATCATCTTTGTATATAACAAAAAGGATTAATCTTATATACACTGTCAGTGTATACATTAT